GTCTTCGACCTGAAAAATCAGGGGTTAGGATTTGCACCCGGTCGAAAGAAACCTTGCTATCGCAAGAGTAACTCCAGCTAGCTTCGCTAGCTTTCGTGATATACTGTAACTATATAATTCATAAATTGTGCTTTGCATAATTTGTGTTGGACAAGTTACCAACTAAGCCACTAAGCCGCAGGGTGCTTGCCGTGTGTACATCGGGAAAGCCCCAGTGATGCTTCGCCGGCGGATCGTGTTGCCGAACGCCCGTCCCGTCTCCTCCCGAAGCATCGCCATGCGACCATGGCAGTCCAAATCTCATCAAAAGCGCCAATCAGTTCCTGCCGGGGGAACATGCAGCGTGTTGCGCTGCAAAATATGTCAAGAAATTGAAGTGCCCCAGGGCCCTCGTGGGCAAAGGGTGGCTTCGAAAGAAAGCACGATCCTGCGTTGAACATGGGTGTCACGCAGCTTGATTCTTGGTCTGCACAAACACACCCAGACACACACACACATACCACGCAAATTGGCTGCGCAAATGGGCTTGGAACATGGGCCCTCATCTGCCCTGGGGTGGACCAGGAATGCGCGTCCGTTCGTGCATGTTTGAGACCAGCTTCCGTGGTTCTGCCTTCAGACGTTTAAAGACCACGGACTTTGACAGAACTGGTAAGTTTCATCTCCCATGATCATTGGGTTTTATCATAGTGACAGCAGGAGGTTTGTGTCCCTGACTGTTCTGATAAGGACATCGTTGTCAACAAAATGTGAAAACCAAAAATAGGTCAAAGTCCTGGCATTGTGTTGGTTCTGCACGCGCACGCACGCGGACACCTGTGGCGCTTTTGTATGCGACCTTGCTTTGTCCGTTGGCCCATCACAAGTTTTACACTTGCGCAGTCCTGATGAGACAGCGCGTAGTTGTCCACACAGAGCCTCTCTGCCAGCTTAAAGACTTCCGTCCTGGCAAAAAGGGACAAATGAAGAGCTACTTCAAGCGAACTCTTGCATCTCTTGTCTCAAATGTTTGCATGATTTTTGGAGAACTCCAATTATGAACCACCAACTCACCAACTGGGAAAGAGTACCACTACACCCTCGAGCAAGCCAAACTAAACTCGACTGGAAGTTGGCCAAGGCGAAGGCCAAGGCGAACAAAACACGATTGATCATTTCAGGATGCTATGTAAAGTAGTCTTCTCACCTAATCATACTGCAGGTCTAGAGGTTGCATCTCAACTATTTAATTGATTGGCCCGGAAAATGCACACGGAGTTGCACGTCCTGGCAACTCTGATTGTGATGCATCTTAACTCCAGAACCCGTCAAGGAGCCCCTGGACAAACTATACCTTTAGAATCCTTTAGAACATCTTGGACATCCTCAGCCTCAGCTCAATCAAAAAGCATAGTTTTGGCAATGTTTTTTCAACTTCCTGATTCCTAACTGTTTCATAATCTGTGTCGTGGACCGAGTGAGGCATCTGCGGGCTACCTCCGTGCGCTACCTGCCCACATGACCACGAACGTCATGCACTTCAGAGTTTTCAGGACCATGTGGTCTTGTAGGTTTAGATTCCTCTGACAGTGTAGCTTTCAACTTTTCATTGGAGCAAGTGCAAGAGGTCTCGCTTCGTTCTTGGGCCAACCTACTGTTTCTGAGGATTGTTTCTGTTCGGTTTCTACCCACCCTAGCTACCCACCCATTGGGAAACCAACTTCCTCCCATCGAGACAAATGCAGCTCAAAAATTGCACCGGTCAAGCTTTTACACCCTAATGCGTAGAGATATAATCACAGCCAAGAGGTTCAACTCCAGGATGCTCAAAAATCATCAAGCATTACCCATGCATGTTCATCAAATTGTGTCAATCATCTAGATAAAACTCTCAGTAAATCTGCTGTATCATCCGATAAGCACACCCCGCCACACTTCACCTTACTAAGCCCATCTTCAAGGTTACTCACTCCTTGATCCACACCATTCACCCTCCAGACGGCGCCACCGCAGGGCCCTCCGGGCCTCTCGAGCTCCCCCGACTCGTCCACATCGTTCTCGGTGAAGAGCCGCCGCACGCGCGCGAAGCGGCCTTCCTGACGGGACTGGACGTGGTGAAGGAGCCGCGGACTGGTTGGGAGACAGAAGGAGCCAACGGTTGGGCAAAAAGAAGGCCAAGTGAACCACATTGAACCACTATATCATATATATATAGGTGCGATCGGGTGCGATATATGTGCATGCGTGTGGTCATTTTACGTCATTTTGCTCACGGGATTTGAGGAGACATGACGAGACATGAATACTTGTTTATCACTTTGTTTATCTTGTTTGCACAAAAATCTTACGGGGTTCGTCAAGGATCTGAAGGAACCCCCAACCATGAATTTATATCCTGCTTGGTCAACATCTCCAACTATAGTTGGACTCAACAAATGCCAACTGCCATGTCGTTGGACCAACTGCCAACTGACTTCTCATGCCGGCTCGACCGTTCTGAGTTCGACAAAATGTCCGTCCTAAAGCCTCTGGGACCGAGTTTTCTTCTCCATGCGCCTCTCAACATAAGTTCACACGTACGGAGGTTCCATAGTCACTGTAGCGATGATGAGTCATAGGACCTTTAGTGAGAATCACGATAGTCAGAATCCTTTGCCGGGCGCAGGGCTTAGAGAAACTCAACATGTTGACGGAATCCTTCACCGAATGGAAGATCTTGACACCGAATGAGCTTAGCTGATCCACTGGTGCAAAACCGGACCCTCCCGTGTCGCTTTATTCGCTCGACTCCCCCGTCGGAGATGATGCGAAACAATGGAAACCTCTTCCGTGAAGCTCTATAGCCATCGGTGGCCCCACTGAAGCTCTGATGTGAAACCAGGAAGCCTCTGGTGCGTTCTCTTCCATGTTGGCCTGGAATCGCTTCCATCCAAAAGCCACGGTTACAACAAGGCATCGCTTCCGGACGTCACGGACGTCCTTTCTTCCAAAGTCGGATGGAAGTGAACACCACACTGGAGCTTGAACGCCAACACTGGAGTTCGCCTCCTTTGAAGCAGACCACATGCTATTCAATGCTTTCCAACTATTCATTCAATGATCGTCTGGTGCCCACTTCGTCAGTGGACGGGAAATCATACATCTTGAACAATATGATTCTGCAAGCAAATGTCTCTCTCTCTCTCTCTTTCTGCCTCTGTGGGTGTCCTCGCTCCCGCCTGCTCATCAGAAGCGAATCCTTGAGCCAACGCCGTCGCGGTCTTCTTCAGCATCCGCATCACCTCAGTCCCCCGAAAGAACGGAATCATCCCACAAACCAGAACCAGGCTGAACCATGCTGAACCGGACATGGTGAAACGGTGCTTTTCAGGAACCGCTCCGCCCAACCGCACCGCAAATAACCGTAGGTTCCAGTCAGCGACCGGATGGTCGATCATTTGGATCTATCTATAGGACTGAACATCCTCTTCACAGGCGTGTCCTGCCCAATCATTGGACAGTCGAGTTATGCCTAATTTACAAAGGCCATCTTACGACTGGCCAAGCACAGGTTCTCAATGCCAATGAGACAAAGCACATACACAAGTGCACATCTCAATCGCCAAAGAACATGCCACGCCCCCTATTATCCTTTCCCTGCTTCTGACATCTGCTTCCTACCTGAACACAGCCGGCTACTTGCCCATGTCCGAGTATGTCTGAGCGTTCGGCAAGGAAAAAAAAAGAAAATTTCCTGGACCGTCCTATAAAATTGGATTATCTTCCATTGCATCCAGAACTGAGTGTCAGCCAAGCTGCAGCTAAAGAGACTGAGAGGCTCGCCATAGGTAAACGAATATTGGCCGATCCTTGTTCATGAAAGGCAAATAAGATCTTTTGATATGATCAGTGGTGAAGTATTAATTGCGCATATAGTAGTTGCACGAGTAGTTGCATTATTGATTCGAAAGTGCTATACTTGGCGATTGGGAATCTTTCTAGGGTTTCTGGAGCAAGGCAAAAGCATCGATAATAGCGGCAAGGACTCGTATGGACTCGTCATTCGATGCGAGGGCTGGGTGTAGAGCACAAAACAACCCATTTCGGATATGCCAAAACATGCAGCAAACTGTAAATCAGCAGTTTCAACATCGTATGAGTGAAGCACTCCACCAACCCACGGAACCATAGAAGCACTAGCTGAAATAATCATGAAAGTGGAACATCACCTGTTTGTAAAGAACAATGTTCATCCAAGGGGCCATTTTCAACTTCCATGGTCCATGATTGTTCCAAATAGTGCGATGCCTATTCCTTTTATCCCAAGACAACCACATGCAAACTGCTCTTCGTTTCGTCGCTTGGATGTGCGCCATCCCTAGGACTGCAGGGCATTCAAGGCAGTACAGGAATTGATGCTCCTCTCAGCGCGGCCAAGGGTCTCAATGGTACCTTTGCCCCGGTGCTGGGCGTATACCAGGAAGCCACATATCTCAGCCTGCCAAAGTGCGGACATCGTGGAATCTTTTGCCAATGGAATTAGTTCACGCGTGAAATAAACATGTAGTGCGCTGACACCTATGCATATGACAAAGGGTGTTATAAACAGCTGCTCTTGAAGACCACATCTTCAGTCCAGTGTGTTGTTTCCTTCGGACATGTCATACTGCATGGCACAGTAGCTGTTCAGGGTTGGTGTTAAATTTCTTTCCAATGGCTCGTCCAAGTAACTCCACCAATGACATCGGCTCCATGATCTTGTACCCTCCTGGCAGCAACGGTTGGAGTCTGACACTGCTCAAGGAAACAGACTAGATACACCAACTCTACGTTGTGCTGTCAGTTTAGCGCAAAAATACGGTGATTTCTTAAATGTGTATAAATGAGTACGTTCCAGGCGCATGTACAGTTTGATCTGTGTGTGTGTGCGCGTCTGGGGGGGGTCACGTGTGCATACATCTTGCAGTGTGCTGCATGCAAACACCTTGAGAAATGTGAACATGTATGGCGTGCATCTTGTGATGACATGATCAAGAAACATCAACCATCAACCACCTCCTTTACAGGCGCTTCACCAGATTGCCAGCTTCACTCCATTTTCTTCCGGACCACGACAGTCGCTATCATGCCGCGGAGGCCTGGTGCCACCACAGAGGGGGCATCCACCGATAAGACCAGTGATTCCTCGCTGGGACTGGACACAAGTGTGGCATTGATGACATCCGCGGACACCTCGGAAAACCCACGCGAAAAGCTGAGAAACACGCAGTCAATCCGAAGAAGAATGACGAAGGCCTGGGTTAACATTAGTTTCATCACCTCCGCTTCTTTGAGTCTCAGGTCCTGTGGTATGTCCTGATCGTGTAATTATGTCTTGCTGACCCACCGGAGGTGATCAGTTGACACCTGAGGCTGCAAGTAGACACTGCGCGACCCAGTGCTCTTGGTCTCAGGGGTGCACATTCCAGTTCAATCGCTATCCCGTTCGTGATTTTCCTGTCGCCCGTAGCAAGGCACATTGAGATTTAATATTTAAATGCTTCATTCTGATGAGGTTTTTCATGGTTTTTCACTTTTGCCATTCGCAAAATGGTTTGCCCGTGTGGCATGGACTGATTCGCTTTTGGAGTCTGTCACCTTGTCTTGACCACACCCCCATCCCTGCAGCCGCAGCACCACTAAGCCATCGTAGTCCAGGTCAGTCTTGGGCACCAAATCCGACATCTTGGAGGGAAGCTGCGGCTTGAGGGGTAGCACCGCACCTGGGTGCGGCCGCGAGCGCCACAGCGAAGCGAGTGTGACTTGAGCAAGGCAGTCCTGAATGTACAGCTGTTTGGATCAAGCATGCAGCATGCGGCTGTAAAATTTCAGGGGGTCCTCCTCTCACTGCGTCCAAAGCGATCTTGGAGTGGTTTCCACCATCCCACAGCCAGACTGAGGATTATAAGAACGTCTTCAACGATCATGTGGACTCCTGACAGTTCGAATC